AAAATAAGTTTCTAATGAAAATAAAATAGAGATATAATAAAAATACAATAATTGCAAAAATATAATAAATACTAAAAATATACTAAATTAGTCAATAAATAGTGTAATCTTAAATAATAGTTTAATCTCTAATAAGTATTAATCTATAAATTATAAAAATATATAATTACTAAAAATAAATTTATAACAAAAATACAATAAATACGATAAATTAAATTTCAAAAGTTAAATAATAGTTGTTTAATCTTCAATAATTATTGATAATTTTCTATTAAATAACAAAAAAAATACATTTATAAATAATTATTGAAAGCATATTTATAAAAAAATAATAAATAATTACTGAAAATAAAATAAATATTAATTATAGTATATATACATATATAATGAATATACACTATTATTGTAAAATTATTACTAATAAAATAACTTTGTTGATAGTTATTTTCTATAATTATTAATTGATATACGGAAAATTAGTTATTTACAACATTATTTAGTTATTGAAATAATAATGTCATTTAAATTCTTAAAATATTAATTATTTATTGAATTTAATAATCCATAAAATTATAATTGTACTATTATTACATAATTCGTTATTAATTATCTAAAATATTAAATTATTATTAATATGAATATTATGAATTCTATTATAATTGTTTTTCTACTTTTAAGATTTTTTTTAAATTTATTACATAATTTCGTTATTTTAACTATTTAAAATTTCGTCATGTTAAATATTTTGTTATTTAAATATTTAAATAATATGTAAAATATTTAAAAATTTTCATTATTTGAATTTTATTTATTTTAATATTATTACGCAATATTAAATATTTTGTTATATTTTTTAGCTATTTTTAATGTTTTTTATTTAAGATTTTTAGTTATTGAAATATTTAAATAATATTTTATTTTTTAATGTTAAATGTTTATTATTTGAATAACATTTAAATTGAATGATTCATAAAATTATAATTTATATTGTTACTACATAATTTCATGATGAATTAGGAAGGGGTTGGATGCAAGGAGAGGTATGGTGATGTGGACAAACCAATTTTAATATATATACACACACACACACACGCTAGCACCACTCAAATTGCCTTCAAAGTTGGCTAGAATAAACCATCCTAAGCATTTTCATTTTATTATATGATACATGGAATATGATACATAGAAACCGTTTTTTATTGCTTCTTATAAAAGGAATAAGGACCCCAACGATGAAAAAGTACAACGAGTTTGTTTTTTCTAGGGGTGTTCACGGGTTGGGTTGGGTCGGTTTCATGGGATTTTCCCAACCGACTCAACCTAGTCGGGTTACCAGAGGTGGGAACCGAAACCGACCCACTGATAGGCCAAACTAACCTGGTCGGTTTGAGTCGGGTTGGGTCGGTTTCGGTTTTGCTCTTGTAAAAAGCCGAATAAACTCTGAATTAGTTGAGGACTTGAGTTGAGGGGGGCGGACCAACCAAGTTAAGTTAGAGAATAAAAGATTTTAAGAGAAGAGAAAAGTGGAATTAGAAGACTAGTAGGAAACTAGGAATTCTAATTGTAATTGCCTAATGGGCCTTCTAGTTCTAGTAGGAATTCTAATTGTAATTGCCTAATGGGCCTTCTAGTTCTAGTAGGAATTCTAATGGGCCTTCTATTTCTAGTAGAATTCTAGAAGACTAGTAGGAATTAGGAAACTACTCAAACTAGGAAGTAGGAATTACCAAACTAGTAGAAGAAAGACTAATTCGGTTTGGGTTGGTTTCAGTTTTCTTATGTGAAAACCGAAACCGATCTGAGATATCGGTTTTTGTATGTGCCCAACCCGAAACCGACCAGTACAAATGAAAACACGACCAACTCGGGTTGGGTCGGTCCGGATTGATCGGGTTGGGCATTCTTATGAACAGCCCTAGTTTTTTCCTTTCAACAATTTTCTTTATGTTTGATTTGAAGGAAAAAATAGGGAAAGGAAGGGAAATGTAGGGAAACTGTACCTTTCCCTACTTTTTCCTTCAAATCAAGCACAGCCTAAAAATATTGCAATGTTTGGTGATGCGCTTGAAGGGAATTTGCAATTTAAAACCCACGATTGTAATATAGATCCAATTCAATTTAAATAGCAATTTTTGATGATATGAACCTATTAAATTGAGTTATGAGTAGAAGAGAATGCTCCAATAAAATGACTCTGAGAATATGAATTTTGAGTGTTGTGATATGATAACTTTTAAGTTACGAAATCAACTTTGAGGGAATTATTAAGACTATTAAGACTGCAAAAAACTTTAATTTAATTTATAGATGTGATACTTTTTACTAATATATAAATTTAGCATATAAATACATCTATATATCTATGTTGTTTGTGTAACTCAAATTCTAAATGTAACTTATCGATATATATAGGTTGTCATGAAGCTTTTAAATTCAAATAATATTGAAGTTTCAATTGTGCCAGAGGATATTAAACTCCAAAGTTGAATCAATAGTAAATTTCCCTTGCCATGAAAAAATAAATTCGAACTAACAAATTAAGAATTTCCATAATAAACCAACGATTTCATCATGTAAGACTCATTTATTGGGTTCAAGCTAGTTCGAAGTTTTATTTAAATTGAGTTGAATTGAGCTTTTCAAAAGATTTAAATTGAGCCGAATCGAACTTTTCAGGTAGTTTGCGGATCAGGTAGGTACAATGTTGTAAGCGCATTCAATGAGTATTTAAATATTTTTTTTTAACACCTACCCCATAAAATACCCTCATCTCACCTGAAAAAGATTAAAATACTTATTAAGTGCTCATTTAACGTGCCTACTAGATCCGGTCTCCTTTTTAGGAGCCTAACTTGAATAGCTGGTTAAAAATTCAATTCGTTTCCACCTATAGAGAGAACTCCGAAACATGGTTTTAAAAAATGACATGGAAACGAAACCATTATGGCCACAAGAACAGCCATAAACACAAGAAATGAAGGGTAAAATAGAAATTTGAAAATTAGCCATACTAGCGATGTGATTGGCATAAATTATAGGATTTTGCAAACAAGGGGAAAGTTTTGGTCCATTGAAATTTGATGCTACTACTAGAGCCTAGAGGAGGAGAAGCCGTGAGTCCAAGTCGTGATCGGTGCATTTACTACTAGGATAGAGTTACTGGGCTAGAGGGTGGGCCCTGGTTTTACAGGTCAAGCTGGATACTTTTAGAGGAATGGAAAGATTACCTCACAGGAAAAAAGAGTTAGTTTTCTTGCCAGTGTAGCAGGCCAAGTCCTGCCAAATCAAGAGAAAATACAAACTGGCCATCTGGTACAAGGTATGTATGTAAGAAAGAAAATTCTCATAGACTTAAAAAATCCATTGTGTACTGGTAGGTAGACCTGTTTATGGGCCGGGTAGCCCAATGGGCCAGCCCGGCCCGACCTGACCCCCAAATGGGCTTGCACATAGATATTAGCCCGCGGGCTTGACCTCAGGCCTAAAAGCCCAAGCCCGATTGTTTTACGGGTCGGGCTCGGGATTTGCCACAAAAGTCCGACCCGACCAAGTGTAACATATTCTAAACCCTAGCTGAATAACCCCTTCCTATTCCCTCTCTTCAGTCTTCATCTTCTATCTTCTCTCCTCACTCTCACTCTCAATAACCGACGCGAACCCATACAGGCAACCACCATTCTCAGTCTTGGAGGCAACACGCGAGCTCAGGCACCAGCGATCTCTCTCTCTCTCTCTCTCTCTCTCTCTCTCTCTCGCCTCTCTTGCAGTTCTCATTCTCAGTTTCTCACTCACCGTCGCATATTCTCACTTTCTCAGGAACCAGTGAACTCAAAGCATCGGCGCTAGCCGCACCACCAGTGAACTCAGTCGCCCCTCTTTGGCGGTGAATCCTGTATTTCTTAGTTTTGTACAAATCATGCATTCTGTAGTATGTAATCTGTACAAATCACGCATTTCTCAACTCTGTTAGCTCAAGTATACAAGTTTTGGGCTTATCACTTCTGAATAAAATCACAACTACATTGAAGTTAAACCCATTTGCCATCTATTGAAGACTTGAGGTAAGAACAAAGTTAGAGAGTTTTTTAGAACAAAAATTGTGTGAATCGAGCTTCGGGCTTTCTATGAGGGCTAGGCTTGGGCCTATGTTGTAAGCCCGTTGGTCGGGCCGGACTCGGGTTCAGGCCTGAAAAAATCCTATTAATGAAAAGCAAAAGCCTGACTCAGCCCGGCCCATGAACAGGTCTACTGGTAGGTTTATCCTTTACCATGGAAAACCTGGCTCCGATTTTGCTACGAACAGCTTCCACGCATCTGCATCAACTGTGGGCTAGTCGGCCACATCTGGTACAACTACAAACGACTAAACACATCAGTAGAGGATCATCGCCAGCTCTTCGAAGAAAGAACAATAGATTTCCTTGGAGAATGGCTTAGAGCAGAATATAGACCCGAGAAGCAGTTCAAATTACCTACCTATTCTCCCTCTAAACCAGCGGTACAAAGTGTTTGCAAAGTAAGGCATGGAGACCTTGGATCGGATGAGGACTCAGAAGACGGCACCGGCGGGAGAAAGCGACGATGTGTCGACCTCTCCGGTAAGCTACTAACAGCAGTTCCAGGCAACTCATAGGGATCAAGCCACACAGTGCACGCCGAGCCCAACTCTTAGCAAGGTGACACGCGCCATGCATGCAACCAAATGCACAATACCGCATGCCAGCCAAGTGGCATCACGCCAAAGACAACACAAAGCCATGCACACCACCTCCAGACCAACAATGCGCCACGTGGCATGCATGCACAAAACAATAATGTATCACCCAATGAAGAAGTAAAACCCTCTCTCATAGCTCATTACCTCACCAAGATAGGAGGGCTGGGAACCATTGATCTGCTAACTGGCAAAAGGAGACTGTGGCCGTCCCAAAAGTTATCATTTTGACATGAACTCCAACGCCCTATATAATGTCAAAAATGGGCAAGTCTCTGATTTCTTCACGGGCCAGATGATATCACCCAAAAGCCTATTAACCAAAACTACAATCATATGCCCGCCCACGGCACCTTTGAATAGCCCGTTAGTTGCGGCAACTTTAACAGAGAGCTTCATCTTCGAACAGTTGATCACTCCACAGATGGTAGCAGCTACATCTCCAATGAGCCACTGTGCAGAGGACTACATCTTGAACCGGATACACATCCCCTGCCAATCCCTTCACTTCACTTCGTGAATCAGGTACTACAATCTATATCTCTCATTTATCTTACCATTATTATCATAATTTCACAAATTCTGCATTCGTCTAGCATCATGAAAATATTATTATGGAACACCCGTGGATGTAATGATCCAACAAAAACCACTGAGTTAATCAAGCTCTTCAAGAGAGAAAAACCAGATATACTTTTCCTATCCGAGACCAAATTGTCAGCGGACAATAGTACCAATCTGGCCAATAAGTTGAAAACAAAAAATTTTGTCTTTCACGAAGCCACATGCCTATTAGGAGGTCTTTTAAGCTGCTGGGGTAATTCACCGAGAGTCAACCTATTCTCTGTACCTAGAAATCACAAATCACCCTCCAAGCAACCCATGGCAATTATTGTTATTCTATGGGCACCCAGTTAGAAAACAAAGGAAAGAATTGTGGCAACAAATAGCCCAAACACAGTCATCAACCTTAGCAAATCATTTAAGAGAAAGAAGCCCTCTCTTTCTAAACACCTGCAGAGTTTCATCAGCCAATTTGAGCTAGTAGACTTTGACTATTTGGGACCACCATTCACCTGGAGTAATAGACAACATGGGTTGTCAAAAGTGCTAGAAAGACTAGACAGAGCCCTTGCCACCCCAACTGGTACCAAATGTTCCCAGATTCCATACTGCACCACTACCCAATAACAACCTCAGACCACGGGGCAATTTCAATCAACACCCTCCCAATCTCACAAAAAAGAAAGCCCCATTTTCATTCCTTACACATCTGGACTGAACACCCTCAGTGCAAGCAAATTATTGAAGAGTCCTGGAACCAACATATTTATGGCTCCCCTGCCCACCAAGTTCTCAGCAAATTAAAGTCCTATAAAGCATAATTAAAAAAATGGAACAAAAACCAATTCGGGCAGGTCCAGTCCCACATCCAAAACCTAGCACAACAAATATCTGCTCTGCAAATGGAAACCTTGGAGGAGGACCAACAAAGAAAACTGCAGTCCCTCCTAAAACAATATCAATACTGGCTTCTCAAGGAGGAACAACTCTGGAGACTAAAATCAAGGGAGCTCTGGTTAAAAGAGGGTGACAAAAACAAAAAGTTTTTTCATCATATAGCAAAGAACAAAAATTTCAAAAACAACAACCTAGAATGGCTACAGACCCCAAAAGGGTCATGGACATCTAAGCGAAAAATCATAGCCAAAATGTTCAAAGAAGCCATCCTAGACATAAGTGGCCAACCAGAAAATTTTGATCCCAGCCAGCTCAATGAAGTGCCTCTCCCCACACTCTCAGAGGAGCAAAAAAACTTACTCCTTTCCCCACCTACCCAAGAAGAGTTGGCAATAGTGGTTAAACAATTCAACCCTCACAAAGCACCAGGTCCAGATGGATTCATAGCTTTTTTCTACCAACATTTTTGGGAGTTAATTGCACAGGACATATACTCCATGGTTATCACATTCTTTCATATTGAGCACCTACCAAAAGAGCTCAACAACACAAATTTCGTCTTTGTGCCTAAAAATAGCATTCAAGCTGATGCTGCAAGTTTTCGGCCCATTAGCCTGTGCAATGTTTTGTACAAAATAATTTCCAAATGGTTGGTGCTTAGACTACAACCAGTGTTGCAGGACTTAATCTCCCCTTGTTAGTCGGGTTTTCTCAAAGGAAGGCAAATCACTGACAACATCTTACTGGTGAAAGAGTTATTGTACAAGATGAAAGCCCAGAAAAAAGGTAAAAAATACATTGCACTTAAGGTAGACATGTCCAAGGCCTTTGATAGAATGGGGTGGTCATATCTACTACAAGTGCTAAAAAAGATGGAGTTTCCAGAAAAATGGTGTAATCTGCTGCATCAATGTATGTCCACAGTCAGTTTCTCCATAAAACTAGTAGGAGAAACCCATGACCATTTTAAACTAAAACAGGGGGTAAGACAAGGGGACCCTATATCTCCATACCTTTTCATCATAGGAATGGAGGTGTTAACCCAATTGTTCAATCAGGCTGTCCACTGGACAAATTGAAGGAATTTAGATCAGCAAAGAAGCAGCTCTAGTCACCCACCTATTCTTTGCAGATGACTGTATTCTATTTTGCCAAGCAGATTTGGCGCAAGTCAAAGCCTTAGTCAAGGTTATCAACACTTTTGAATTCATGTCAGGGCAAAAAATAAACTACTCTAAATCAAACATTTCCTTCAGCAGAAATGTCCCTTGGCATCACCGTAAGTTCCTCTCACATACTCTCCATGTGAAGAAGTCATTAGTGGGCTCCAAATATGTAGGGAACCAAATTGGAACAAACCCCCGATTATGTTCCACTCACAAAGAAGTTCTTAGCAAAGTATCAGCCAGAATAAATGCATGGAGCTCGAAGTTGTTATCCCAAGCAGGCAAAACCACCCTAGTCAAATCAGTCTTTAGTCCATCCCAACATACTCCATGGCCACAACAATCTTCCCAAGGGCTACAAACTCAGAATTAGATAAGCTCACAAGAAAGTTCTGCTGGGGAGATACAACAGGGAGATCCACACGTACGATCTCTTGGGGCAAGATTTGTAGGCCTAAACAACAAGGAGGGTTGGGTTTCAGATCTTATGGGATCATGAACAGGCCATGTTTGGGAAACAAATCTGAAGGCTCTTAATTGATAACAAGGGGATCTGGAGCAAGCAAATAAAAGCCAAATACTTTCCCTATACCTCTATTTGCAGCTCTGAAAACTAGAAGCAGCTCACACTAGTGGCAGCAAGCTCACTCTATGTTACCCCAGTTAAAGCCAAATTTACTGTGGTCAATCAAAGATGGCCGTGACATCCTAGCAATCACTGACCTATGGATACCCACTTTACCGGGTCACATTCCAAGCCTGAACTCCTCGATTTCTTAACCTCAAGTCAAGAATCTGAAGGTTTTAGAACTTCTCACTCTAGAAGGCTCTTGGGATACTCCCAAACTAAACCTTCTCTTCCAGGAGTCTGTTGTGCCTCGCATTTTATCAATAACTCAAGAGCCAAACCAGACGACAGATAAAAGTGATTTGGAAGAAGAACAAATCGGGTACATATTCGGTGAAATCAGCCTACCAATACTTCTTCTCATTTGAAGGCTCCAATTCTAATTCTCATTGCAACTGGAAACTGATTTGGAAGCTCAAAATATTGCACAGATTCCAACTCTTCTTATGGAAACTAATATGGGATGGCTTGATAACTAAACGAAAATGTTCGGCTTGCCTACAAGAAGAGGACCGAATGTGTACTTTTTGTAACAACAGTGGGGAGACAACCTTCCACCTGTTTTTCCAATGCACATTCACCAGAGCAGTTTGGGTTGAATCCGACCACACTACCGGAAAATCAAGTTCAGTATCTTAGCAAGTTCAGTATCATCGGCTACTTCATATGGAAAGCAAGGAATAAAAGCATATTTGAAAATAGACCACCAGATCCATATCATGTTATACAGTCTGCATCTCACTTCCCACTCACGCATATCATCCAGCCTATGCAAAACCCTGCATATCGATGGCTCCTTTGATCCTAAACACAGGTTATGCAGGAAGAGGGTTCATCATCCAACATGCACAACGCCAGCTCTCCATTGCAGAAGGCAAGCCTTGCTGGGCCATCAACAGTCATGATGCCGAAACCAGAGCTCTCCTAGGGGGATTGCACGCAGCGCTATCATATGGTATTGATCATCTTTTGGTATTTTCAGACAGCGTAGACTTGCCCTTAATGGAGTTTGCTAATACAGATAACCCGACCCAATGGATTAATCAGCTCTACAGAAGCCATTTACAACGACTAATCTCCTCTTTTGCTTTTATTCAGTTTGTACATACAAGTAGGAAAAACAATCAAGCGGCTCATCTTTTTGCATACAATCACTGCACTGTGATATATCCACCTCCCCTCGTGTAAGACTATTCTAAGTAATACAAGGCTGCTCTGTTTTGCAAAAGGAAAAAAAAGTCGTCTGATCGGTTTTAAACTATAACTTCTTCGATCAGATGAGGAGAGAAGAAGCCGAATATGCAAATCCCGAGAAATTGGTGGGGGTGTGGAGCTGGATCCACTTGCCATTGCTATTTCCGTTACCGGTACCAGTGGTGCTACTCTCCCAGTCCGGCATGAATACAAACCCTCTGTGTCTGTCACTGTCAACGCCGTCGTTCAATTTACCACCGTCAGAATCCATCACAAATACCTTATCATGATCTCCTCTTGCACCTCGAAGAGTCGTCACGCACGGCGAAGACCTCATGCCGCTGTCCAGAATGGATGTCAATGCCTTCCAGTGTTTCTCTTTCATGTCATACTCCATCACCCCCCTGCTCTCTCCTCCGCCACTGACAAACCACCACCGCCCACCGGCAGTGGCAGTGATGGCCCTTGGGCTAGCACTCTGGAAGGGCCACACCTCCTCTACCTTAGACCAAGACCCAAGAGCCGGGTCATAGCACTCTGCGTCTGACTTGAATCGTCCCTGGCTCTCGGTACCGTACCCGCTCACCGCCCAGAACCTGCCATCGTCGTCACAGGAAAACCCTTTACACTCGTCCCTCTCCTCGGCCATAGGGGGAAGAGCCTGCCACTCGGCCGCATCGGCGTCGTACATCTCTGCCGATCGCAGGGCATTCTTCTGGTTGTCATGCCCTCCGGCCACGTATACGGTGGAGGGTCCGACGGCTGCACAGGCGAAGAATGACCGCCCCATCGACATGGGAGCGGCGCGGCGCCACCCGCCTCCGCGAATGAAGTCATAAACGTAGACGTCAGGGACAGAGTCGAGGGTGTCGGGGTTCCAACCGCCGAGTAGGACCAGTTTCCCCGAGAGCGGCAGTGCTACGCAGTGACTGAAGATGGGGACTCCATTGCCGTTGGCTCGATTCAGCATCAACTGATGCCAGGTATCCATGCTGAGGTTATATACACTGACGCCGTAAATGGGTGGGCAATGTCCTCGCCGAGTTTGCCTCTTATCTTGTTGCTGCTCGTCGTTACCTTCAACCGCTAATTCTATGGTGGGTTCAGCAGAGGTGGTGAGGGCTTGAACGAGACAGACAAGCTGCTCGGCGGTGCCGGTTCTCTGCCTTTCTCTGTAAAAAGATGGGTGCATGAGCAGGTTCCGCCATCTCCGGCAGACGGACTTAATTTCCGAGTGGAATCGATAGGGCACGCGAACGAGACATTCCAACGCTATTTCGTCGGGCAGGCCGGGGATCAGACTTGGGTTCTGCTGGTTACCCAGCCCTGCTTCTCCCGTGCTCATGCTTCCTTCTTCTAAACTTTCTTCTGTTTTAGACAATCCAACAAAAAGTGTTGCTTAAGGTGTTCGAGAGAGAGAGAGCCTTAGAGATACGCATGCCAACAGAACTACAGAAGTGGATTGGGTTAGAGGAGGAATGAACGAAAGTTGGTTAAAGCATGGTGCTCAACTGCTCATGCTTCCTTCTTCTAAACTTTCTTCTGTTTTAGACAATCCAACAAAAAGTGTTGCTTAAGGTGTTCGAGAGAGAGAGAGCCTTAGAGATACGCATGCCAACAGAACTACAGAAGTGGATTGGGTTAGAGGAGGAATGAACGAAAGTTGGTTAAAGCATGGTGCTCAACTGCTCATGCTTCCTTCTTCTAATTTTTCTTCTATTTCAGACAATTCAACAAACGATGTTGCTTAGGTGTTCGAGAGAGAGACGCAGAGAACACATAAAGGGGAAAAAATCAACACGAGTGAAGTAGAGGATTGGGGAACCGTTTGGAGTGGGTTAGAGGGCGAAGAAAGTTGGTTAGAGAGGTTCAATCCATCCGTGGAGGAGTTGAGTGAGAATGGAACGGTTAGAGTGTGGTGGAGAGTGTGAAGTGGGGCTAGAGACGTGTAAGCTGGAAACCTTTAGGTTGAGTTTGGAGAGGGAGTTGGATTCATGGTTGGGGCACTTGAAAGGGAGTGCATTTGAGGGCAGGGGAAAAGGATGGAGGGGTTTATATAGGCACTCGTTTGAAATGGCTGTGGGCAGGCAGGGGACTGTGGAGCTGTGGATCAGTGGATCAGTGGATGTGGACAGAGTGAATTGGATGACAACTGACAATATACAGCTTCATCTACATACTAAGTGAATGGTGTGATGGGATCATCATCATCATCATCACATTCATGCATCCTGCATGTATGTGGATCCATTCAGTTCAGCCACTTAGAGGCAGAATGGGATTTGGATAAGATTAAGGGTCCGTTTGGTTTGCAATCAAAATCCTTCAGAACCGGAATTGGAATCGAAATGGTACATTCTCATAATCTGTTTGATTTAGACAGAAATGGGAATGGAAACTAAAATCAGCAGGAATAAGATTTCATTCTGAGGGAGGGGTAGGGAATGGCCATTCCCTCAAATGGGAAAATGACATTTCATTAGGAATAAAAATAAGATTTTGATTCCGTCCAACTAAATAATTAGAATCAGAATAACCCATTCCAATTCCGATCCTAGACCCCTATTCCAATGAATCAAACGGAGCCTACGTTATTAACAACAAGCAACTAACACCATAGTTTGGAAAAGGGTCCATTGATGGTGGGAAATGGGCTGTGGCAACATCAACCTTTCACTACTCAATTATTTTGGCCTTTAAAAGCAAGTTGTCATGTGAAAGATGAAAGATTGATGGAACGCTTAGACCTGTCTGTGAGCCCAATTAGCAAATCTGCTCCGACATTGTGAATTTTAAAAGCCTTGGGACCACTGTCAAGAGCAAAATTAACAGAGTGAAGGAAGATGAAGTTCTTTCTCACTGTTTCCTACGGTCAATATGATGCTGACTTGATCAAACTGGGTTTTTAGTAGAGAAAAAGGGAAAGAAAATATGGGTCACTACTAAGCTATAATTAAGGGATTATTATATTATGGTTCAATTTGGAAGGAGTATAAATACAAATATATACAAAATAATACAAAATATAGGGTTTTGTACTATACATATTTGTATTTGTACTCCTTCACAACTGTGCCTACAGAAAAATATGTAAAAGCAATACTTTTAGTTCTTGACTGATGGCTCTACTTTCTTGGTTTTTGAGGTAAGATTACAAGAATCTCTAGAACTATGCGGCTTCTGGTCTTTCAAATTTCAATAAGTATGTGACTTAGGCAAAATTTGTGGGCTGGGATGGGCTAAAAATAATTGCAAATGAATTTACAAGAGGAAGAAGAGCCCTAAAACCTATAAAGCTTGGCTTGTGGCGAAAGGTTGTTGAATGGTCCAATCATCCGGTTTGAATGGATGACCCGTTTTAATTTAAAAAGTAAAAATTAAAAAAATAATTAAAATAAAAAACAGCCAATGTAATAGAATTCAATTCAAATTAAATGTTTATGCTAATATATACTCAACGTTTATAATATTTTTCTTTTGGTAGGAAAGGAATTCATTAAAAAGCCAAGGAGGTATTAGTAAAGTTGGTTTCAGTTTTGTGGTTTTACTAAAGAAATATTGGTTCAAGTTTAATAGAATTTATTTTGAATACATTGTTTTCATGATATACAATATTATTTATTTTTTGTTTATTTTATTAATAATATATAATGTTTTTGTCATTAATAATATATAATATTTTTATCGTTTTTAGTTTAATTTTTGGTAAAGACTTAAATCTCTCTTGGCATTTCTGATCTAAAACCTCCCCTGTTAGAGTTATGTTTAACAGAATCATCAAAGAGTCTTTTTTGCCCTTATTCATTCTTGTTTTGATTAATAAAAGAAATTTTCATTAAGAAAAAAATGATACAGTGCAAATTATGAGTAGCCTTGGCTACTCCGTTAGGACTTAAAATTGCCAACTATCAACTTTTGTCTATTCAACCTAACAACTACGCTTCCATTAAAGTTTAATTTGAGAAAACTAAATTCGGGGGGGNGGGGGGTTCTGGTCCTTTTTCTTTACTGTTTAAAAGAAAGTATGATTTTTAAAACCGACCCGGAGACTAAACCGGTCAGAGGTCTGGCTTTCGGGATGAATGATTCCCCATAGGGGCCATTAAGTACGTTTGCACCATACTAGCAACCCTCCTCCCAAAGTCGGTGGTAGCAGGAATTGAATCCATGTTTCTACTGGAACAAACTAGCTAATGTACCAACTAAGCACCCCTCCGATCCTCAGTTGGCCAACAAAACTATTATTCATACATAACTTTTTACGTGAACTCTTTCTCCTCCACCTCCTGTTCACCAAAATTTCTGTTCAAGCATTTTCTTCTTCATAAGCTATGCTCTACCTATTTAGTGTTTGAGAATTCGATAAACTTTCTCAAGTTCAACATGTCAGATTGCCCTTCTAGACTTCACTAGACCTAATGCTTTTCTTTCCAATCTAAGGAATGATAGATATGAGGGAAAAATGGATACTTTAAAAAAACTACTACATTTGGCCAACGTTTTTCCTTCAAGATATTAACAAAAGGGAGGTAAATGCAGATTTTTTAATACTATAAGGAAAGATTTTATAATTGTCAGAAACCCTAGGGGAGATTTTTATATTTTACCCTTAAAAAAAATAATTTAAGGAAATTACTAATATTCATAGCCTATTTTTTAATTTTCCAAAGTAAGTGGGTTCAAGCCATAGCTTGTTAGGTTTAACAGAGAGCATTTGATCAATCAATGGAGTTTTCCGAAGATACAATGGATCTTGAAGTGAGACTGGGGAAGTGAGTGGGGTGCAACTTGGTCGGTTTGGATTGTCTACACTTACATTTGTATGTAATGTAGTCAATTTTAAACCCTTTCATTAGTTGGAAAAGCCACCCTTTTGGCTTAGTGCTTTTGGGTCCATATCAAATCCCTATTTGATGACGCCTAAGCATGATTTTAACTGTTATTCACTGTAACAAAATTTCTTACAATAGCTTTTGCTCTTTGGTCTAAGTTGGGTATTTTCTTTTGGGGTCAAGAAACGTAGGTAACACTTAGGGTCTGTTTGGTTTATAGTTGTAATTGGAATTGGAATGATTTATTTTTCTGGCTGTTTGGTTAGGAATCTGAATTGGAATTGGAATAGGATTCTCTTTCCCGAGGGGGAGGGAATTCCATTCCACTAGAAATAGGAATGGAATTCCGATTCCAGATTCCTATTCATGTGCAGCCCATATATGACAGTGGCTCCGTGTAACCCTATTACTAAATTAATGAAAGTCAATTTTTTTTTCTACCAGATTTTAACCTTTCAAACCAGTGCACTATGGAGTGTCGACACATTCCTAAATATATTTATGAGAATAGGGATCTCTCTCAATGTTAATAACATATCTATTGAGATATTAATTGTAGGTTCTTTTATTAGTTTGATAAAAATAAAGTGGCCTACTATTAGTAATATATAACAATATGACAATGGATTCGATACAAGTTTAGAGAGAGAGAAAAGAAAGGAAAAACGTGTACAAGGATTAAGGGTTGGTTTTAGGCCCCGTTCGTTTTTTGGTAAATTATTTATCTAGGTAAATGTATTTACCCGGGTAAGTGTTTCTTAAGAAAGACTTATCCGGGTAAGTGCATTTACCCATGTTCTTTTATTTCCAATGTAAATAAGGCAATCGCTATTTTAATCATAAAAATCCATTATTTAAAGGGACATTTTTGTCCCATTCAAGTGTTGGTAACTTTCCTCCCAGGTGGGAAAGTTATTTACCCACCTAGGAGATGGGTACCCAGAAAAATAAAGTTTCCCTGATCTCCAGATAAATCTGAAAAAAGAACATAGGATTATTGGTCAATGAGAATCAAAATCCCATTGACCAACTTTCCCCCTCTCAAAATCCAGAAAAAAAACGCCCCCTTAAATAAAAATTATGTAGAAATTTTAATTTTTTTCATAGATAACATTCATGAAAATACACGACAGTTGATCCATGCCAAATTTTCTCTTTTATATATTATTTTACTATTTTTCTTTATTGAGGTTCTCAATAAGGTTAAGGTTGAAACTAGTGGATTAATTACAATGGCACTAAAAATTTGAGTTATTGTTGGGTGCACTGTTGTTATGAGTTGCACATTGTATAGTCAGGTACCTTATCGTTTTGATCAGTAATACATACCTTAGGCTGTAGCAAATGTCTTGTCCATTATATGCCTTTGATTCCAAGCAAGAAATTGATGTTTTAGGATCATCATCATCATCTAAGAAGAAGATGCAGCTGATCTACTAGTAATGTTTGTATCAGCTGGACAAGGAATCTCTCTCATATCTCTCTTATATATTTTGATCCATAATCATGTAATAACTTTGATTCTTTTTTTTTTATCCTGTTCTACTTATTCTTCTTTCTTACCTTCACATTATAACCAGGTCCTTTTGTGGGAATGAACTACTATTAGCTGGTTACTTTGAAACAATCTGGGTAAGTTATCTATATAAGCTGAAGCAGACAGCCTAAAAAATTGACTGACAGCTGATTTGGGCTTTCTGTACTTTTCACAAAATATAGCTTAAGTACTGTCCATGAGGCCCACACACAATATTAGCTGAACAAGGGATCCATATCTCTCTCTCTAGGTCTCTAACCCAAAATCATGTAATAACTTGGATACTTCTTTTCTTTTATTTATTTACCTTTGCCTTAAAACCATAGAGGGACCCATAACATAAGTATAAAAATTAAATCAATTTTTTTATTCAATTATTTTGGTTAAAAACAAATTTCATTGTATATTATATTCATTATATACTAAATTTTCAGTTCGATTTTTCGGTTTTAACCGAGATATGTTCACCCTAGATATTGGGGCTTGAACTACTATTAGCAGCACCTTACTTGTTTGACCTGTTCTTAGATATTACATGACAATAAAAGAAGAAAAAAAAAGGGGAAAAGTATTCATGCAAAGGCTAGCTATTAATAGCCATGAGATAACACCATTTGAGAGGGATTTCACACACTGACTTCTACCTTTGCAAGGTGGGCTTCACATGCACAGCCTTTGGAGCAAAATTTTAACCAAACATTATCTAAACGCCACAACAGACCAAGGAAATTAAGGGACATGAACTATTTAGGTTGTTCTTTTCTT